AGGCATATGGTTGGTCACTGTGGAAACACCATGCTATACAGTGGTACCTCGGGTTACATACACTTCAGGTTACATATGCTTCAGGTTACAGACTCCGCTAACCCAGAAATAATACCTCGGGTAAAGAACTTTGCTTCAGGATGAGGACAGAAATCGTGCGGCAGCGGCACGGCAGCAGCGGGAGGCCCCATTAGCTAAAGTGGTGCTTCAGGTTAAGAACAGTTTCAGGTTAAGAATGGACCTCCAGAACGAATTAAGTATGTAACCAGAGGTACCACTGTACTAGATAGGCTTTTGAGTAATCCAACAAGGCTCTTATACCAAATATGTGATAGATCAGTACTGCATGGATTTTTATTTTTAAAGACTGCTTATATCCCTTGAAAGACCACTTAGGACATTGAAAATTGAGCTAGGTGATCATTCAGCACAGCACTAAAAATGTAATCTGTAATCCTGGCCGTTATTACAAAGTGACATTAGAAAAATTAGTGGGGTGATGCATAACTTTGAGCATTTAGAGAAAGTGCTAAATGCTGATGATACCCATCAATTTTCTGACGAGACCGTTCCATTGTTTTTAAGAGTTTGCACTGTTTTGTTGTTTTAGGGTTTGTTGATTTGATGCTATTGTTCCTAGAGCTAGTGTCCCTGTGTGTGATTCTGCGTTTTTTTGTTTTTTGTTTTTACTATGCACACTGTTTCAATGGCAATGATAAGGACCAACTTGAATGGCTTTGAGAGGATTAGAGAAATTCGTGGAGAATAAGGCTATCAATGGATACCAGTCATCACGGCTACATTCTCTCTCCACTATTGGAGGAAGTAATGCTTTTGAATACCAGCTGCTGGGAATCACAAATGGGAAGACCCCTGTTCCTACTCTAGGGCTTTTCAGAGGCATGTGGTTGGCCAACATGAGAGCAAAATGATGGACTGGATGGATGTTTGGTCTGATCCGGCATGATGTTTATTATGTCCTTTCCAGTGCCTTTCATAACAAACATGTTTTGTTGGCCTGCAAATAATTTATAAGAATTTTATGTAAAAAGCTATAAAAGACATGGCTAAATTTGCTCGAGTAGCAGCCTGAGTTCAGGAACGGGAAAACCTTTCAAGAAATTTCACTAGTCCCATCCAAATTCTCCGCTGGGCTTCCCTAGAAAACCCTACATGTGAAGCTCTGTAGCATTGTATGAGCCTTGGGATTGGACTCTTGCTTCCTCGGCAGGCTCATTCTGGTAGCAATTCCTCACCCACCAAAGCTGTTGCAGCTGTATTTTAATTTTCTTGATCTCACCAGAGTCGTTAAGGCTGCTAATTCCAGCCATAGCTAGGTGGAGACACCACAGCACGTACAGCCCATAATGGCTAGGGTAGAAGAGCAAGAGAGGCATGTAGCTGCACCAGCCTGGAGCAGGCATAACAATCAGGTCCAATTTGGGCCCATGGGATAGCAGTAGGATTGGCTTAGGATCCAGCAGATCCCAGGCTGGTTCTGCCTCCCCTGTCTCCAGAACGCCCCATTTTGAGGGTTCCTACTTACTGTCTAGCAGGTGGAAGTAGAGCTCCACACCAGTGGAGGAAGGTGGTTGTCACTCTGTAGGCAGAGGCCACCAGGGTTGAGCAGTGGGGTAACTCCATCTAATATAAGTGCCCCTGCCCCTGCTTGGTGCAAAGGCAGGGTTGGATTGCTTAGTAAGGCTGTACAGTGGTACCTCGGGTTACAAATGCTTTGGGTTACAAACGCTTCAGGTTACAGACTCCGCTAACCCGGAAGCAGTACCGTGGGTTAAGAACTTTACCTCAGGATGAGAACAGAAATTGCACGCCGGCGGTGTGGCGGCAGTGGAAGGCCCCGTTAGCTAAAGTGGTACCTCAGGTTAAGAACAGTTTCAGGTTAAGAATGGACCTCCGGAACGAATTAAGTTCTTAACCCAAGGTAGCACCGTGATCCTAAGCACACACAAAGTACTGTATTTTTCCATGTATAACATGCCCCTGTGTATAAGACGACCCCTACTTTTTGGGACCCAAAATTAAGGAAACACGGGGAGGTTGCCCAGCCTTGCTGCAGCCACCAATCACCCGCCCAATTGACGCAGCAGCAGCCAATCGCCAGCAGGCCTTGCCACAGCCACCAATCACCCGCCCAATTGCCGCTGACAATCTCTTGCTTGCAGATGCCACCAATTGCCCGTCCCCCCTCAGCACTATCCAAATTTTTAACATTTTTAAATACTACAAAAACATCATCTTATAGACAGAAAAATACGGTAGGTTCTATAGATCTGTTTCAGCTTAATGTGTTTAGGATTCAGATTAAATGTTACAGATATATGGTTCATCTCAATTAGTTTATGAATCACATTGTCTAAATTGTTGTTGAAGCCTGAAGTCATTACGGGTTGCTGTCATTCCTCGCTCGTTACTTTTGATCTCAGCGTTATAGACCAATCAAGATACCCTCACACAAAATTATCTTTATTTACATTCATAGCAAAAAAAGAAAAACAAAAAAGACAACCCTTCCCATCTTTCATAAGTTTATGAACTTCAGTATAAGCCTCCACATTCTATTATAATTATTATAATTATTTTAACACTATGGCTGTACTGAAATTTCAATTCCTATTTTGATTTAAAGGCTCATATTATAATTTCAATGGTAGCTTCAGTTAGGCAATAAAATGAACCAGTCCACTAAGAATAATTTTGGCATGATTTTAGTTAATACGTATTATTCCAAGAAAGCCATGGTCTCTAGCAAGCTGCCCTGGATTCCTGGCATATATCCAAGGCTTTTTTCCAGCCAGAACTCACCGGAAGTCAATTCTGGCACTCTCAGGTGGGCGCCATTGCCATTCTAAGAGAACAAGGGAGACATTCACGGTGAGTTCCGGCACCTCTTTTTCTAGAAAAATAGCACTGCATGTTGTCTCAATAGCAGGTGTGGTATCAGCTGAGACTAAATATAATTCTGCAGGTTTCTGTTTTCATATCAAGGTAAAACTTTTTTCCCCAAATCACTAGGCCAGTTATGTGAAATACCATTCCCCCCCCCCATAATATGGTGTTCTCCAACATGTGAAAATGAAACCAGGTATGACTGGCTTTAGCTCGGACGCAACATAAAACCCTTTTCTATAGTATATTATTTTTTGTGGGAGTGACATGCAAAAAGCATTCCTGTAACATGGAAAGTGGCCCTTTAACGATATGGCAGGTGAATCAGAGATTGCTTCCATATAAAGAAAGCTACAAAATGTTTCCAGTGCAACCCAACTAGTGGAAGTTGCCATAATGAAATGAATGGGGAATACAACTGGCGAATTGCACCTACAACTTTACCTTCCAAATTCCTGCTCATCCAGTTTTCTTTAAACTCCTTTTGATATTCATTCATCTCATGTATGCTAAGTTAACAGCACTGATATGAATGCATTATAACTACAGGAAAACAAAAGTGGAACATTTTGCATAAGGAAAATGACTGAATGCATTTAATGCTGAAGCAAGACATTTGTTCTCCATTATTTATGGTTTGTGAATGTAGCATATCAGCTATACTAGCAGTTTTAGTGTGTATATACATATATATGTACAAAACAGATGTGAAAATGTTCTGTTATTGAATTTATACATTAGAAGTGCTATATTGGTTTAATTCTAGAGAAGAGAAAGCTGTAACATCACAGAAACAAAAGTATGATATAGCATGCAGTCACAGTAGCAAGCACTAGAAAGAAAATTGGGTAAATTATTCATATATATGCATATTATGCAAATATATCTTACATTAATCATGTTATAAGAATGTTTGGTAATGTAAATGCATGGTTTTCCCTTTTCATTTTTAACCTGAGGTGTCTTCTAGTTTATCATTGGAATATTATTAAAGAAACAATGGGCTAAGATTATCATATCCTCCATTGCCTGGCATTCTGGAAATTTGAAAAGCTCTGTGGCACAGAGAAGCTTTTATATATATATATAAACCTTATCTATTATTTTGTGGAACTGATTTGTTCTGCCTGGCTGCTCCACTGTAACATGGAGAAGATTTGCAAAGGGGAAGCAGGTACAGCAGAACATGGAGCAATGTATGTGGTAAAATTTTCCTCAGAAAGAATCTCCTCAGATTATAGTACCCCTGCAAAGGAGAAGATTTGATAACCCTGTATAGATCAGAATAGATCCTAAATATGTTAGCAGCAGTTGCATTTCAAACAACATTCCAGTAACAATATGCTGTAGGGATTCTCTCCTCAAAATAATCCTATACTGTAATTGGAATATTAAATTAAAACATTATATAATGCACTGTATCACATAAGAAAAGGCTGCTTTGCATCGTTCAATAGCTTCTTAAGGATCGTAAATCCTATGAACACGAAGCAAACTGATCTCTTGATCAAGATTTAACTTGCTACATGAGAATAAACAAGTGATCGCTAAAAGGATGATGCCCATTTTTGATAGGTAAACTGATCTTTGCTAGAATATAAAACACAAACCATTAGCAAAAAATAAAAATAAAATATTGATTAGGTTCATTGGTTCAATGATTAGGAAATATAACTTAGAGAAAGCGTACCAGTGTTAATTCTACCAGTTAATGAGCAGTCAAGTTTCCACAAACATCACATAATTCTGATAAATATGGAATTGCAGAGGTCTGAAAAATATTTGGGTGGTCTTAAATGACTTTTAGATTTATCAAAACCTACAGTTTTCAGAGCACTTGCCTCTCCATACTTTTTATTTTATTTTTTAAAAATCACTTAATGAGCATTCTGCTAAACTGTCCGTTATCTTCCGAAAGTACAGTGTGTGTGTGTATATATATATAGTACATATGTGTATGCACAATGGGTATAATACACATTCTTTCACAATATATGTACACACATAAACAGGATTTTAAATATATTTATATATATTTTATATTTATATATATATAGAGTGTAAAAGTTCTTATGTACACATACAAAATAACAGGCAAATTAATATTTAACTTGTTGAAGTCTTTTTTTTTTTAAAAAAAGAAGTAAAGTCAGTTTAGTTGACATAGTATAGCCAGTAGATTAAGTTGAAAAGAGAAAATGTGAAAGGAAACACCATTCTTGACCATCTGTCTATGGCGTTCACATCTGTTAGGTCAGGAATTTTTATCTTTAGCTGTGAAGACCTTCTCCGTAAATGACTCTTCTTAGTGTGGGCGCCAGTTCTGTCCAATGTACGCCTTCCAAGGTTTTCTCGATGCGAACTCTGTTTTCTGTACTGGATACCTGAGCTGTCAAAGGATATTGTTGAATTCTGAGGATCGGTGACGCTTGTGGTGACCTCATTGCTTGCAACTTCATTGTGAATTTCGAGGGACGTTAGCAGAATATTCCCATGCATGTCCACCTAGTTGGAAACAAATTCATAATGATGGAGGTTCATAATTGTTTCCAGTAAATAAAAATATTTAATTCTATTTCAGAATAGAGGGCACCTTCTGTTCCAAGTTTTAAATGCCTGCTGAAAACCCTTCTATTCCATCAGGCCTATGCAGGAAATTAAGAATACATCTTTCCATAATAGTTAACTGACATCTGATTTGAACTTTTTAATATTTTTTTATTGTATGGGGTTTTTTTTGTTCTATTGTTATAAACCACTTTGGGTTTTTTAATGAATAGCAGTATACAAATGCTTTTAAAACAAACACACAAACACACAAACAAATAAAATAAATAGCATGGAAGGTTAGCTATTCCCCATTAAAATGGACAGAATTACCATATTAAGTGGTAAGGATTAGGAACCGTGCCAGTAACATAAATATAAAACAAGTAGGGCCTGAAACAAAATCTTGCAATGTAGACTCGTTCTGTAACTGGAGTGCTATTTTCCAGGGCTTTAGCCAGTCAGCCAGGTAGTCACACCTCAGGACCTCAGATGATGCAGATCAGAGAGGGTTCTCTCGGGAGGGTTCTCTCCTGAGGGCATTTAACACAGATGGGTCTCTGTTGGTGGGATGAGGAATCCCCCCAGACCTTTGCACACTCCTGTGAGCACAACAGTATATAAAAAGGCGAAAGAGCAAATCCACTTTCACTACTGAATTGTATTGTAAGTTCTGATCAATATTCAAAATTGCATTTGATACAGGTGCAGGCTACTCATCTGCTGTAGAACTCGCTTTACCTACATAATGATCCTTCAGAAAAGTCATTAACACTAGGGGCAAATTCCGGTCCCAAGTGAGTATTGCTGCTCATGCAAGGAATGGCTGGTACAACACTCAAAATCTCACTTTCTCCTCTCCCTGGCACACATATGGGTGCAAATGCAGTGAACCACAATACACTGACCCATTGCCAGAAACAGGACTTTCACCCCACCTTTTATCTCCCAATGCAGCCCTCCCTCTGCCTTGGGTAAAAGTTACTCAAGCACCGGACATGTAAATATGAAACTTTTGGCCTACTTAAACTGTATCAAATGTATAGTTCATAATCCTGGGATGGTGGTGAGATTACATAGAAGACATACCACTACTTCCCAAGGGCTTCCTAGGTCCCTACGGGTAGGGAGGTCTTCCTCTTTGGTGGTTTTTATTCTATTATTATTCCCCCTTTCAATTGTGGTAAATGGAAAGAAATTGGCTATTTCATTTGCAGCATAGCTGAAGGCATGTGAGGGGAACGAGGAGACTTAGGATCCTGCTAGTGCTTGGCTGCCTCCAACATTCCCCTGGAAAGCCCCATTTCCCATACCCATTGCCAGAAGAACATGGTTGTACGTGTTTGTGTGAATGTGTGTAAAAGTCCTGGCAGCAGGCCTCTTCAATGGCAGAGCATACCACACCTAAAAGCACCCCAGATCACATTTGCCTGGCTTTAGGATTACTGAGTGTGCAAATTCAACTAGGCAGAACAATCTACTTGCTCTTTTTTATTCTTAAAATGTAACGATAATCAGAGGTTCCTGAAGATACTATTCACTCTGGTGCAACATATTTACTAGAAATTTTCTTGTTCTGCTTTGGAAAGCAAGTATGTCACTGTCATGTCTGGGAAGTGTCATTTCATGGCAAAACTCCTGTTTGTTTTATGGGTCTAGATCAATTTAAAAAATGATTTAGCAAATTTGTATCAAAATGAGCAGGCTTCTCACTTCGTTCTTAATGCCAATTTCAACATATTTTTTATTGTGCGGAATTTTTGAAAATGAATTTAATGGCAGGCAATTCATGTTTCCTGAATATTTCAATCCAATTTAATTGTTTAATACGATATTAATTTTAAGGGTCCTGGAATTAAAGCGTATTTGATACCGTTCACAATTGCACAGTGTTATTTACTTTACATTTTACCATTCTCCCCTTTTCCCCCTCTTGCAGGGGCTCATGAACTTAAAACAAGGGCTCTGTGGTAGTAAAATGAGAATGTGTAGCACCCTTTATCTGATCTGGCTTTATCATCAGAAGATGTTATAATATAGTGATCCACAAAAAGGTCAGATCCCACAAATTAGCTGTGGGATCCTTCTGCTTGGATTGAGTGCAATATAGAAGAAACTGACTGATTTCCTAGCCAGGGAATAAGACAAACAGCCAAGTCACTAGCAGACATAATATTCAATTGCAGGTTCTCTTGTCTTTGCACGTTAGCTTTTTCATGCAGATATAACATCCCCACAAGGCTTGGGATAATATGAGTTTTGACACTGTACTTATGCAACAGTCAATATACCTTCTCTAAACGCTTGCTTATGGAAGCAGGCGGTTTTAGAATCAGACCAAAACATTGTATATTAAAACAATGTTAGCCCATGGCAGCTGGGATTTTCCAACCAGACTATTTTAACCTTGTGCTATGTTGTTATGGTCTGGGCTATGCGTGTTTTGAACTCCGTGTAGATTGGCCTTAGACATTCAGTTGTGTCACCCCTTGAAACAGGATTGTGCACCAAAAGTCAACCTATGCCAGTTCCAGTGTGTGCTAATATTGTGGACTCACTGTCACTTGGCCACTTTTAATATTGTCTCGAATGGATTCCCCTCCTTTTTTGGTTATATTAGTGAGAACATTTGAAAACTACTTTGCAATCCACATACACTGTCTACGTTTTATTTTCAGTGAAGGATAACCAGACCTCCTGAATGCTAAAAAGAGGGAAACTAGAATTTACACGGAAGCCACTTTTAAATGTCTAGTTACTTAATTTTCTTGATTAGCCATTCTTGCCTTTCAAATAATTGTTTGTTTTATTGTAAATTGCTTTGGGACTTTCGTTGTTGGAAGCAATTCATAAATTCAATAAACCTAACTTAAAGGTAAAGGCACCATTAGGTCCAGTCGCGGACGACTATCTATAGGCCAAGAGAGCCGGCGTTTTTCCGTAGACAGCTTCTGGGTTATGTGGCCAGCATGACTTAGCCGCTTCTGGCGAAACCAGAGCAGCGCACGGAAACGCTGTTTACCTTCCCGCCAGAGCGGTACCTATTTATCTATTTGCACTTTGACATGATTTTGAACTGCTAGGTAGGCAGGAGCTGGGACCAAGCAACGGGAGCTCACCCCGTCGCGGGGATTTGAACCACCAACCTTCTGATTAGCAAGCCCTAGGCTCTGTGGTTTAGACCACAGCGCCACCCGCATCCCAAACCTAATTTAACCTAACTTTAATGGACATCTTTAGCTCTAGCACATATTTTTAAAAACACTAAAGTCCAAATAAACATCCTGGAAACAGTGTAACAAATACTGTTAAAGATCATAGTGAAGTGTATCAGAAAATTAAAAGGGGAAAGTTTTGTATTACATTTCCACATGCTACAGAAATTGCACTGTTAGTTCCTCCTTGCCACTGTGAATATTAAGAATTCTACTTGTAAAATTTTAGATGGGCTCATTGCCAATTTAAAAAGGTGCATACTGAATTATTAAAACTGGTGACATGGGTTGTTTTCAGTAAATGGCTCCTATTAAGGGGCCGTTACGAAACATGTGCAGGTTTTCCTTTACCACTCAATTTTAGAGCTCACCAACATTGTTCTGTAGTATATATTCTCAGTCCAGAAGAAAGCCTGTAATTATTTAAATATATTTAATATTTTCCCAAGTACAAGAATGGCAGATGGTCATTCAACAGGCCAAATTCAAACTAACTTGAAGACCTAGTATCACACAGCCTGCACCATCATGTCTCCCTAACTCCCAAGATCCGAGGTTGGAGAAAGTGAGCGATGCTTTTTAATAGTAATTGGTACAATGAATGTTCCTGGTTGGGACACTCTGTTTCCAGGGACAGGATTTTCAGCTAACCATGCAGAACATACTTAACAGAGAAAGACTGGAAACCACGTTTCTCTTTCAGTTCTTTAATAACTGGGAGACAGGTATTTTCTAAGCATTGCTCATCCAACACCTCATACTATAGTGATGCTTGCATGGGAATAACATAAGCAGACCAGCAATGGGGGTAAAGATTTACACCCTGATAGTTACTGAGTGGAGAGTTATTACATCACCAAAACAGTGGAATGTGCAAACCAGCCTTCATGTTGATAAAGAACAGGTGCAAAGCTTCAATAAAATACTTCCCTAAATTACTGCTGTAAAGTTTTGCATACGTTTCTAAACACAACTCTAGCAACAAAGCATGCACACATTTGGGTGAAAGTGCACAGGAGTGGGGTGGGGTACGGCAGCACACAGTTTCGGAGAAGTTTTTTGGTGAATTATTATAGGTTCCAGCAGAATTTCAGGGGCTTCATATAAAACAACAATCTATAAATATCCCTGGTTATATCATAATTTAAGTGTTGTGCTTCTTAGTCAAGGAACCTTGTGAGTTGTAAAGGGCAATACAGATATAACGTGGCAGGGGGCGGAGGAGATAATGAACCTCACAATAGAAGTACAGTCCTATGAGGGCCTTTACACTTGCAAGGTGTGCTGTCTTCCCATTTGTGGTTTTAAATGGGGGGCTACAGAAAAATCCCCTTTGTCAAAAGGCTCTGTCCTTGTAATGGTGGAGAGAGAGAGAGCCCATAGACCATGTCCTTTTACACTGCCCCTATGATCAAGATGCTTGTACAAAGATTATTGCCCCATTGCTTAGAAGAATGCCCAGAAGTCCTAGTTTGGAATTGCCCAGTTCACTTCTAGAAGACAGAAAACCAGAGACTGCAGAATTAGTCACAAAATTCTTTGTGTGACAGCCTACGGAATAAGTCAGTTGTTCTTACCTGTTGGGTTTACATAGACCATTTACGGAAAAATATGGTATCCCTCCTTTTATTTTGCTTGATTTAATCCATACTAGTATTTGTTGTATTAGAGCACATTGGTATTTAACCCCCCACACAACTCACAAAAACAAAACAATTCCCAGAAGTCATTGGGACAGTTAAACTAGTTTAGGATTGGGTCAAAAAAAATTACGTAGGGAGAAGAAATTATGTAAGCCTGGATGTGCTCTCCTGATCACATGATAGATAACACATTTAGCCATTTAAGAAAAGTGGGTGACAAGAATACCACTTTCCTCCCTGGACATAGCAACAAAATATACTGGGACACCATATATAATATTGGCTTGAGAAGACCTATACAACTGTATAATGTTGCATGTGCCGTGAGGCACATGTCTCCTCTCTCTCTCTCACACACACCGCCCTTAGATAAACATCAATTAAAAATTCTCAGTGTGGTGACTTGTAACAATAGTACTAGTAAAAAAACAAATCAGTACACTGAGGAATACAAACACCACACTTAAAGCCTTTCTTAAATGTCTAAACATTGATCTCATATTTAGCTTTCTCTCCTGCACAACACAAAAGGAGGCACTGCTTCAGCTATGCGCTTGCAGTTCCACATCGAAATATGTGGTTCTCAATCTCTTACTACGTCAGTTGCCATGATCTGCATCAACCAAATATAACTCCATTAATATCACATTGTAAACGGCCCTTTGAATTCAGAGGCAAACCTCGTGAAGAAAAGCTGTCTTCTTGCACTCCTTTCACCATTTCCTGTACAAATACATACAGCAGGAAATGAGCTGAGGTTTTGCTACTGAATAAATGTGTGTTTTGTTTTTGACACACTTAAATCCAACTGCCAAACAAAAAAACTCTGCATCTTCCTTAGTCTGGCGGGGGGAGGGGGGGAGCTGACAGCATTTAAGTCTGGGCTCCATGACTTATTTCTCATTCTGTATAAGAACTAGAAAGAAATAATAAACAGTGGCAGAAGTAGTAGTTTTTGTATGTAACAAAACACATTCAGTTGGCCAGTTCCCTTATCCTGGAGGCACGGCAAGGGTAATTGGGGCAATATACATTGCATTAAGTGTTAGTGATGGGAAGAGAAGTTCCCAGGCTTGTGAATTCTGAACTAGCAATTTTGCTTATGGTAATAAAGTATGTGAACCTGTAGCCTACCAGAACTATGTTTTGCTCACTCGTTCCCTTTCTGCACTCTCTGTGTACTGGGAGTGTTTTATGTGACTAAGGATCTATTCATACTGAGGGAGGGAGGGAGGGAGGGAGGGAGGGAGGGAGGGAGGTGGCTGCAGTTTCTACAGATGCCAATGATACAGTTTAGCGTGGAGGGTAAGTACACTTAATCCTACTGATCCATAGTGGTGTTTTGGAACTGAAAACAACACAGGCTAGTAGATGACGTGAATAATCCTACCCGGTTGCTTTCGAACTTAGAGCGATCGTTGTTTGCTTTGGCCGTCTTTTCTGCAAGTTTCTTCTGCCTTTGAGGGCCTTTTCCAAAGAAGATGTAGTTGACGAAAGCATATTCAAGTAAGGCCAAGAAGACAAATACAAAGCAGCCCATGAGATACATGTCAATGGCTTTGACATAGGGAATCTTAGGCAAAGTCTCTCTGAGATGAGTGTTGATCGTTGTCATAGTAAGCACAGTTGTAATACCTAAAAATGGGAAGAAAGGTAAGTATATTAAGATCTTTCATGCATTTCCCCTTAAAAGCCATTTCCAGGAGCTTGTTGATATTGTGGAAGAGTCAGCAAAATAAAGAGAGGGAATGCTATTGTTTTATTTGTTTGTTTATTACATTTATATTCTGCCTTTCCCTTCAAGGACCTCGTATTTTGTTTCATAGGTCTGTGAATTTCACAAAGAGATCTTATCCAACATTTATTGGATGCCTGACCTATTACAACCAAAGTGGTTTGGAGTGAGACAGTTTCTTTACTGAAGAGTTTGCTTCTGAAATACCTATTAATGATTTGTTATAAAACTACTTTTTCCGGACCTAAAAGAAAATTGTGATATGAGAAATTCCTTAAAAAAGGATGAAAGGAGATATAAAGGAGAGCTAAAAAGGGGATTTTCACTGAAATCAATTGAGCTTAGAGAACTGATGTAACCCAGTGCTTTTCAAAGGGTGGATCATGGGTTTCTCTGTACCAAGGGTGGCAATGGCGAAAGTTGGCTGGCCCACCAATTCTATCTGAAATGTGTACCCTAACAAGAGTGCTCTGGGATGCACATAGAGCAACGGTGAACCTCAAAAGCTCTAGCAAGAGTCCTGTGTGAATGGCATGTGTGCTTTAGAACCAGATGGACGGGGTATAAATAATAAAATTGTTGTTGTTGTTGTTGTTGTTAAGAACCCACTTAAAAGCACAGGTGTTCTGTGGCAGGTGATATGGAAACAGTTCCTTGAACAGATAATAGCTGGAAAACTATTGATGTTCCAACAGCAGGTGTTTTGCACTTGAGAGTGGACAATGGGACTGCACGCAATTCAGTGCTGATCTTATTCTGGGTTACCCCATGTCTGTAAACGTATGTAACAAGGGAGAATCCACGAGGAACTGGGAGGAAGAAGAGGAAGCAAAGTGGCCTATATATTCCTTTGCCCTCCTCATCCTCCCCCACAAAGCCAGCTTGATAATCAGAGACGGGCTTGGACTTCAGAAACCTTTTCTCGGCTCGGTCCCCCTTGCATCACCCAACTGCTTCAACAGCAAAGGGAACAGAGCCACTACTGCTTACCAGGACGAGTGAAGCAGTGGCTAGATTGAGGCTGCGTGCATACAGTGGTGTGAGCAATGGATTGGCTCTGTTGGTTAGGCATCCCCAACTTTGTCACTGTCTTTTAGCTCCTGCTACCAGTAATCAGCATTGCTTTGCTGCTGGGAGGCTACTGCTGTGGCTCCAACCCCACTGGACAAACCACTTCTGATCTGAGGCAAGCTCTAACACAGGATTGCAAAAAAGCCCAACCTGTGAAAAGTCTTTATTCGCCTGCTGGGGACTGTAGCTGTAGCAACTTACTGATTTTTTCACTGTTTGTGGAAATGGGGACTTCTCTCATCTGACAGCCTGTTTATTTTCTGGGAAGTGCTCCACCCCTCCTGCGCCAGTCCACTCACCCATCTGCATGCAATCCTTTGTCACCTGTGCTTAAATATGTGGCTGTTGTAACAACCTCCTACATGGATATGACAGGGTAATGCCCCATTCATCCTCATTCCATACCGAGAGCAACTCTTGCTGCAGATGCATCATAATTGATCCAGAAGGACACCCACGATAAAATGGTAATCAGTATCGAGGGCATGTAGGTCTGAAGAATAAAGTATCCAATATTCCTCTTCAGCTTAAAGCTCAGTGACAGTCTTGGATAGGCACCTATTAGAAAATGAGGGAAATAACAGTTAATTATATATATATATATTCTCCAATGTAACTATTGATGACGTTAGTAAAGGCAGAATATGCTCCTCTTCTACAGAAGCAAAAGCACATTTGATGGGCTGTTTATAAAACCTCGAATAAAAATCACTTTGTGAGTTCACATTGAAACTAATGCATATTAGAGAAAATATGTCGTGATTCTTGAACACCTATCTGGTTACCTTTTGAAATTTTGTGAAGAACAGAGATATAGTTAACTTACATTTACAAAATAATTTTCACATATTACTGTAAATGTGTGTGTGTGTGATGTCATCTCCACAAGACGGTGGAATAGCCTTCTTCCCCTTGATCCCAGCTCATGGATGTTTAAATTAGATAACCCTAAATCTTTAAAACACTTATCAAAATAGTGAATTCTGTCAGCACTTGTTACAGTGCTCATAATTAGAACAAAAACCTGACATAAAAACCTATTAATTAAAAAAAAAATTATGGGGGGTGGGATCAATACTTATTTCTCTATTACTATGTTTATCCATTAGCTTGGTTAACACTATACAGACAATGCTCCTAAAATAATTTAATCAGGAAAATTCAGACTGGTGGCTTGGTTCAGGAAGCTGTTTCTGAGTGAATTATTTTTGCTGTACAATTTCAGTCAGTTTCTGACCTTTAAGTGTTGCCCCTGTTATTGTTTACAGCCCCTTATTATTCTTACTTATTATTCTTCTTTTTAATTATTATTATTATTCTTACTTTTATTACTACTATGCCCAACTGGTATGTATGGTTCATAATTTGCAGCATTAATGGTAGGTAAAGGTAAAAGTAGGTCCAGTAGTGACCGACTCTGGGGTTGCGGTGCTCTTCTCACTTTATTGGCCAAGGGAGCCGGAGTACAGCTTCCGGGTCATGTGGCCAGCATGGCTAAGCCGCTTCTGGCGAACCAGAGCAGTGCATGGAAATGCCGTTTACCTTCCCGCCGGAGCGGTACCTATTTATCTACTTGCAGTATGAAGTGCTTTCGAACTGCTAGGTTGGCAGGAGCAGGGACCGAGCAACGGGAGCTCACCCCGTCGTGGGGATTCAAACCGCCGACCTTCTGATCGGCAAGTCCTAGGCTCTGTGGTTTAACCCACAGCACCACCCACGTCCCAATGGTAGGTAGGATGTTGCAAAATGTTTTCATATTGAATCTCTGAAATCACTAAGTAAAAGGACTTTGCCTCTAAAGTGCTTGGTTGGCAGTCTTGCTTTGCCAAAGCACCCCCCCAAGCCCTATAGTCGTTTGGGATGTTCATACTTATAGCCTTTATTCTAGACCATCACAAAAACATGGAATGTCTCGGTTGTCTTTTATTCCAGTCATTATAACACTAGTGTCCTTTATTTTAGAAACTATGATCTGGCCACCCAGTTTTTGTCACCTCTATGGCCATATAGAGACAAAAATGGGCATGTGCAAGAGAGCTAACGATGCTGAGCATTCAAAGCATGGGAAATACTTGCCTGTGGCAAAGACAACATTCCTGGACACAAGTTTGTGTTCCACAATAGAGAACTGAGGAAGTTCAATTCTTTCCACTCCAGAGACTGCATTATTCCCACCTCGCCAGTAAAATTCTATGTCATCTGTTGTGTATCCATCTGTCAACAAAGCACAAATGCTTTAGAATCATGGGTGCTTAAATGTAAAACTGACCATTGTTAGAGGACAAGCAATACAGAACTACAAGATAACAACCTTAAACAACAATTTCAAAAAATAAAACAGCATTCCTCCAAGGCACAATTTTGTTTGAGTCTTCATTGCCCCAGAAGAGCAACGAATTCACTCCCTCTCAAGAAGTAGAGCAGGGGCAGCCATGTGTGTATTTCTTATCAAGTTTTGTTGACTAATAAATGTGATGCAACTATCTGGCTACTACAGACGTCAATCCCTCAGAAACCAATAAGCTGGCCATGGGCCTATTAGACACTACTTCTGTCTCTTTTCATTAGATCCAATTGAAACATCTGTCAGCTGCCAGGATGAGAACAACTGCCCATCAGATGTGTCATCTATCCTTATTTTCTTGTTTATATTTAAAGGGACAAAAATAAATAAATCCCATTCTTGGCTTCATGCTAAGAACTGATGCCATAGTAATACATGTTTATTATATGGTAGCTCCTACACAACCTGAAGAACTTACCTCCAAAAATAATATGTCTTATGTAATAAGTTTAAAGTTACAGATAGTTAAAAAAAAAAAAAAGACTTAAAACTGGAGATTCTTTTTAGGAACACTTCAGAGTAAGAACAGAAACGATTGACCTAACTCTGAATTAGCCATGTGATGTTGTCATATATATGGTCAATCTTATTGGTTAAATAGGGTCATTACGTCATCATGCAATCCTTGACTGGCTGGGATCATATGGTCTATGACCACATATACACCATACATTTAAAGCACATTTAAATCACCCCCCCAATAATCATGGGAACTGTTCCTCACCTGTCACTGAACTACAATTTGCAGAAAATTAATATTCCCAGGATTCTTTTTGGAGGGCAGGGGAATGCGATTTAAATAAATGACATATATGCTGCCTATGTGAAGAAGACGCTATAAAAATGGGACCCACAGGACTAAAGACCGAACAATGAAGAAGCCACGAACAAGAGTGGATGACAACAAATGTTTATGATTTGAGGGACTACTTTTGCAGCTCCCCCCTCTGTAAGTATTGAGCACAACCCTAGATATAGAGATGTTCTTTCTATCAAGACCAGTCTCCTTCGAACGGTGAGCCCAGAGGGTCTGTGCTTCAGATTCTTATACTTGTGGTTCTGTGTTGAAGCACAATCAGGAGCACTGGAAATGGACCATTAAAAAGCAGGGTTCCCTCCCCTTCATTAGCACAATCTGCACTGAAAGCAAGATGAAAACAACCCAATCTTCAAGCCAGCCTTACAATGTCAGCAATGTAACCACTGCCAGGGCCAGGGAAGGTAGAAGCACCCTGGCATGCATGTACTGAAGTGATTGGATGCACTAAAAAAGAATATTCAATCCTTTAAATAACAATGACATAGATGTATCCTGAAACACTACTATTTGAAGGACTAAAATGTTGTTGTTGTTGTTGTTTTTTAAATGCTAGAGTTGTACTGTACTGAAAAATGTTGAGAAAGAGACTTTAGAAGTGCTGTGAGACAAATTTGAGGCAGATGGCCTAATTCTTCCTTTGAAATCCATGGCAAAACTCCCGTAACTTCAACAGGAAAGAGGTAGCAGGCCAAGCGTAATTTACACAAAAGTGTTCATTAGCGTGTATTGATATTTTAGGCGTGTAAAAATTCCCTATACCCTTTGCATTGTAGAAGAAAGCGATGGCTCTTGAAATACAAATTTAAATGATATGAGCACTCCAATTACGGAAAACAACTGGATGGGGGAGAGAGAGGTTCTACTTCTTACATGAAGCTGAACTTCTAATCATAAGTAGGTCTATCTGACAGCCCAAGAGGGGGGAGGGGGGCATAGCAAGATCACTCATCCATAATAAAGCACACTGAAAGCAAATTGAATCTCGGTGCTTGCTTTCCTCAAACTGAATCTGATTAAAACATGAACACTAGTTCTCTTGTGTTGTAGATAAGCATCCAGTCATTGCTCTTTTGCCTAATCAGAACGGCATTATATTTTCCATGCCTTTGGGGTTGGTTTATTTTTTTTAATGCCCACAAATAATGGCAACTTAGCTACTATATTTATGTACTTATTTATTTTTCAACATATGAAAATGAAAAAGATCCCTGCAAAAATAAAAAAATAAAAAATCAAGGGAATACAGTGGCCATGATCCAAACAAAAACCAAACACTTTTAAGTTGCAGTGATTTCAATGGGGGGAACTTAAACACCCGATTAACCTTCTGACTTGCATAAATAGAAGCTGAAAGTACATAGTTTTGCCTGCATCATATGCAACAGATTTAACATTAAGAAACTCATATTTTGTCCTAGGTTGTCCTATCCAATGTCAGCTTCCGTGTGTGTGTGTGTGTGTGTTCAGGGGGCCTCCCTTTCACAGGAACTGTTCCTCTTCATCTCTGATGCTGTTGCCCTTTCATTTGCCTTGCCCTTCTGGGCCCAATCCATACCACCAACCAGAGAGAGAGAGGTCAGGTGACTGCCCCGTCACTGTTCACTTGCTTGGAGAGGGCAGCTGATGAGGCAGTGACATAGAAAAGGGCATAGGGATCTGAATTTTGCCAGCAGACCCCTGCTAAGGTGCAGCCTTCAATAAGTGCCTAACAATGTCAGCCCTTTATGCCAGCCCTAGTACCATCCTGAGACTTCAGTATGTGGCATGAATGTGAACGGGAAACCAAATAAATAACTGAGCAGCAAAATTAAAATTATTATAATTTGTGCTAAATACAACTGAATCTAGTAAAGCAAGTACTTTTATGTGTACGTACAGCTTTCTATTTCCAGTGTACAATTCTGCTCATCTAATGGGTATCTTCGCAAGTCCATCATGCAAGCTGCAGTGGTTGTAATTCTGAAACAAAATGCAACAATAGGAACTTTATAAGAGCAATAAATCAACAGTCCCTTAAATAAATATAACATTAAAAAGAAAAGAAAAACAGGAACTGATAAGTAATGTGAGAGAGGTACTGAATCGTTTGCTATTCCTTCACTAGGACTAAGGTCATGGGTGGGCAGCCTGTGGCCCACTGGGCTCCCCATTTGTCTCATCAGGCCATTTGGGCAAGGCCATGCTCACCTGTCCTGCACCTTTCATCCTATGTGGGGCGGGTAGATGTGGCTGGGACAAAAAGGAGTTTGTGGGCACCTATCAGCCAGTTCTTGGGACTTCCAAGCACAGAGCAGGGCTCCTTGAAAGCACCAACAGCGAATTGCTTCTCTTTGCTTGAAGAGGACCCTGCACAGCTGAAGCCCCGATAATCAGCAAGTTATCAGTTACACAAGAGAGCTCCCCTTCAGAAACTCCTTGGTGCAGTTGAGGGGACCGGAAGCAGCAGCTAGGATTCAAAGCGCTTCCTCCAGGACTTTGAACCCAATTTCCTTCTATTGAAAAGTGTTTTTCGTTTCTTTTCACAGAAAGCCACCCATATTCAAAGAACTGGAGGATGCACTTTGAACACAAGCTACTTTCTCTGCAGAGGAGCACCCCACCCCCTTTAATTTTTAACAAGTGTCAATCTTCTGACATCACTGTGACTTCAGGAGTTAGATAAGGGGTGGTTGCACCCACCCGTCACAGTTGGACCATGAGGGGTGGAGAAGATAAGGATCCAGTTCACTGGTCGGATCCAGTACTGTACCCCAGTTTAATGTCTCTATTTCTGCACAGCCAAATGCAGCACAGAAAGATACATGGCAACTCTGTTTTTACTTATTCATTAAATATTTCTTTATTCTGCCATATCCAAAACGTTAACGGTAATTTTCAAAGGACAAGGTTCAATGCTAATAAAAGACTATCCTTGTTAGTTTAGGAACCTCGCCCCTCAAAACGATGAGGTAAGCTCAAAACGATACACCCACTGAAATTCTATAATGTGGGGCAGAAAAATGGAAACCTCTTTTTCAGGGGAAGAACAGTTTTGAAAAATTGGAACACATATTTGAACAAAGTACTAGGCCTGGAATTTTCTGCAAACCTTGATGTCAAGCTTATCTTACAACCATTTTCCTTTTCTAATCTCTTACTCCTTAATCTCAATGAGAAGCAAATTATTTTTTTACCAGTTCCACTAAAAACATGATTCCCCGCCCCCTTTTTGCATATCACATATATATCACACACATATACGCTCCAGGTTTCCTAAAGTAAATAAACAGATACATAAACAGATACATGCAACAATGTATATAACTCTATACAAATTACTTCTGTGTTGTTATTTATAAAATGATGATGAAGGAATAGAGTACCATATGGGGCATGATGCTTATACCTACTATATATGGTGGGGTTGTGTATAATTTTGCATATAACTGAGCTTTTAAAATAATATGCAGATGGCTGAGATATAGAAGAAGAAGAAGAATTTGGATTTGATATCCCACTGTATCACTACCCGAAGGAGTCTCAAAGCGGCTAACATTCTCCTTTCCCTTCCTCCCCCACAACAAACACTCTGTGAGATGAGTGGGGCTGAGAGACTTCAGAAGTGTGACTAGTCCAAGGTCACCCAGCAGCTGGCTGCATGTGGAGGAGTGGAGACGAGAACCCAGTTCACCAGATTACGAGTCTATCGCTCTTAACCACTACAACACACTGGCTGACACTTGCTGCAAGAGGTGGTCCAATGTGGGCAAAGCTTGGTTGGATTAGAAAACTGCTACATTCCATGCTATCTCTATCACAACACAGTGCTACTTAGAACCAAAGACATTATTTGTTAATCTAACACATGCAGGTTGAGGATCAAACTGATTTCACACAGAAGACTATAACCAACAATCATGTGGAAGTTCAGCTAGCATGTCTACTCAGAGGCAAATCCCACTGAATTCAATGGAGCATCCTCCCAGGTAAGTGGGTGCACAGTTGCAACCTTAATGTGTGGTTCAACATAATGCTTTATGCATTGACTTAGAGATTTTGCTACTCTGTGGCTTGATCATGTGAGCTTGCTATGGAGTTTGTCAGAAAACTTGTCCAATGAAGTTCAAAGCAAACAGTTTCATTGAATGAGGGAAAACAGACTGATCAGCACTGGTGCGGCCAAATGGAAGATGAATTGGGGTGATGGAGGAAAAGCTGCAAAAGATTTCTCAAGGGTTCACATTATAGCATGCAGGATAAAAAAATTAACAAAACTCTTAAGGACTGAAACAGCTTCTGAAGAGTGCCTTTGCAGCTGGTCTGTGGCTTCAGGGATGAATTCCTTTTTACCAAACATCTGCTAGCACCCAGCTAATTCCCCAGGCAAGGTGCTCAAGACTATTTACTACAGGGAGACTGTATTTCTCCAGTATGACAGCAGCAGCTGTGACTTAACATGTACAAGTAACACCAAATGATCCCCCTTTTGAAAAGCATGCTACCTTAAAGCTAAGGGGCAATCAAGCTTGTTTTAAAATGCACCATTCTGGTAATTATATAATCCTATTTATTTGTTAAAGAAGTGGAATCGTTTTGCAAGCAGTTCCAGTTTAGTGCATCGGACAAATAAAAGACCTGAGCTTTTCTGCTTGCATCAAGTTCTTTACGCAAACAAATATAAAATGATTTGCTTCAATAAATCAAGGGAGCTCCTAGCCTTTACTGTGCATTTGCATGCATTTTAAAATGAATATATGTGGCCAAACACACTTTAAATACTTATGGTACAATGCTTTTCTCTGTGGTTTTGAGTTATATGCCTGTATTCCTTATACTCCTATATTGTTGATATAAAATGTTGCACAGCTTGCACACTTGGAATAAGCAGCATATTCAAGGATTTTTTTAAAAAAAATAGATAACAAAATTTAGCCCCAAGTTACACTTACATGACCACTGTAAATTTTATAATGCATTCCTGTTCTTGTGTACAGTGATACCTTGGTTTATGAACTTAATCTGTTCTGGAAGTCAGTTCTTAAACCAAAGTGTTCTTAAACCAAGGTGTGCTTTCCCTTAGCAGCGCAGGACTCAATTTACAAATGAAACACACTCAACAGGAAGCAGAACATGTTCTGCTTCCAAAGCAAAGTTCACAAACCAAAACACCTACTTCCGGGTTTGCAGCGTTCTTAATCCAAGTTGTTCATAAACTAAGCTGTTCTTAAATCAAGGTACTCAGAACTAATTATAAGAAAGTTCAATGGGATTTACTCCCTGCTAAGTGAGTTTAGGGATTTCATCTTTACACATAAATCTTCACAAAGGAATGTTCTATCACTTGTTGATGGCACATTCAAGGACCTTTAAACGTTCCTTTCCCCTTGTTTACAGGAAGCTTGTGTTGATAAGGGCTACCTCAAGCATCTTTGCAATAAGCCAAACCAAGCAGCTCAAAACCTAGGCCAGTGTATATGGAAGTTATGTATCAAAGAAAGGAAGGAACAGTTATTCTTCTTTCTTTCAATGCATAACTATGTAGCAATACCTGACTACAATACAAGACCGATTCTTTATTGCAATATAACTAAAGTTGAAACCTTATCAAACAGTGGCTAATTGTTTTCAAATGTTGTAGACATTGCCTACCTAAATGCATTTGGAAATATTGGGTTGGTTTTGATACTTATCTCTTCATAAATGTTATAAATAAACAAGTAAATACATTGAGCAGTCAGTTTGTGTTTATCTCACATTTTGTCCATTTCTTAAGCCACTGTGACCTTTCTCTTTGAAAATGTGCAAGCTGACTATACTTTGGGAAATCTAAGTGTTCTGTGGCTTGACATATTATTCACAATGCTCATGACCATGGTAACTACTTTAAAATGGGGTGAAAGGGAAGGTGGGAAAGAATAGGATTGTATAGACAATTATAGTTTTCAGAAAGTCATTTTTGTTATCCACAGAAAGTTATTTTTGTTATCTACACCCCACATTTTAAAATATGCCTGTGGCTCCTACAGTTATGTCTGAATTTGTCTTTCTGAGTTCTTTCTGTATGAACATAAAATCTGCAGTACAGTGGTACCTCAGTTTACGAACTTAATCCGTTCCGGAAGTCTGTTCTTAAACAAAAACCGTTCTTAAACCAAGGCGCGCTTTCCCTAATGAGGCCTCCCACTGCCGGTGCCCTTCCACCATTCAGATTCCATTCTTAGACCGAGGTAAAGTTCTTAAACCAAGACAATATTTCCAGTTTTGCAGAGTTTGTAAACCAAATCCTTCTTAAAACTGGACTGTTCTTAAACCAAGGTACCACTGTATATCTAAAGAGTCGGCTTCAAAAACTCATCACCTGGAAAGAAAAGCAGACCCACAGATAAAATACAGGACTTCAACCAGAATCCAACCCTTCTCTCCTTCACAAGCTGAATAATCTAATGCAAGTAATAGTAGCTCAGCCTCCACCTGTAAATAATGAAAATAATGGGTTCTGGAGAGTGAACAGGATATAGATTATACATTACTACAGTGGTACCTTGGGTTGCATATGCTTCAGGTGACATACACTTCAGGTTACAGACTCCACTAACCCAGAAATAGTACCTCGGGTTAAGAACTTTGTTTCAGGATGAGAACAGAAATCGTGCTCCGGTGGCGCAGCAGCAGCAGGAGGCCCCATTAGCTAAAGTGGTGCTTCAGGTTAAGAACAGTTTCAGGTTAAGAACCTGAATCCGGAAAGAATTAAGTACTTAACCCGAGGTACCATTGTGTATAATTTTTTAAAAACCTTACCTAAAAGCTTTTTAGCCACAATTCAACCCCCCTCTGCATCTGTGACGCCACAGAGCCACTGCTATATCTGCAGTCCTGCTATTCATAGCAGTGGCAGAAGCTGCAGGGGAAGGTAATCCTTGGGCCAGCTTGAGGCTGGTGCAGTGATCGGGCCTGGCCTGGGCTCAATACCAGCCAAACATGACTGTGGAACCCACTCAGGATCCAGCAGATCCCGAGTCAATTCAGCCTCTCTGCTTTGGGGCTTTCCACTCAGCTCCATTGATGGGGGCCTTGCCAATGGGCTTCACCTGCACATCAGGTGGGTGGAAGGGGGAGACATTTGTTATTGGCAGTGGGTGGGCAGCTCACGTAGCAGGAATGAGCAGTGGAACACTTGAGCCAAACCCTCTATAGCCCAGGATAAGGCTAACCGTGCTGTCAATATGCAAATCATTTAACCTGGGTGAATTCTGACCAAACCATCCCATCAGTGGGAGTGTTACAGCTGACATCAGCAGAGCTTGGATTATTTCATCTCTCTCTCTCCCCCCCTCCCCCGTAATGTAGTTTTTATTCATTTTCATCTTGAAACTGCTTAACATGGCTGTATTGAGATATATCTTTGTTTACATCAGAGCGTATGGCATGCAACTATTACATAAAAATAAAACAATGACAAAAACTTAGGTAAACATTTATGAGTATATTAACAAAGTTGTGTTGAAGTGTATATACCAAAATAATTACAGTTATAACAGCGACAAAACGATGCATGGTAACATGTATTGTTTAGATTGGCGACCATAAGTAAAAGGTAATTTGTATCAATAACAATTGGAATTTATAGGAAGAGGGGAAGGGAAAAATTAAAATGCATACTTCTTGCACACCAGACTGTGCCATAAACTATGGACACTGTTCTGTTATTCTGTAATCAATAAAGGCATACCAGACTGCATAGAAATAGTTGTGTTTCTTTTGACCTCTTGCTGCTTAGAATTTTTGTGTCAGTTTTTTCCAATAATGCTGTTTGCCAAAAAAGCAGAGACATCACCTTGCCAACAAAGGTCCATATAGTTAAAGCTATGGTTTTCCCAGTTGTGATGTATGGAAGTGAGAGCTGATCACCAAAGAATTGATGCTTTTGAATTATGGTGCTGGAGGAGACTCTTGAGAGTCCCGTGGACTACAAGAAGATCAAACCTATCCATTCTTAAGAAAATCAGCCCTGAGTTCTCACTGGAAGGACAGATCCTGAAGCTGAGGCTCCAATACTTTGGCCACCTCATGAGAAGAGAAGACTCCCTGGAAAAGACCCTGATGTTGGGAAAGATGGAGGGCACAAGGAGAAGGGGACGACAGAGGACGAGATGGTTGGACAGTGTTCTTGAAGCCACCAACATGAGTGTGACCAAGCTGTGGGAGGCAGTGGAAGACAGGAGTGCCTGCCGTGCTCTGGTCCATGAGGTCACAAAGAGTTGGACACGACTAAACAACTAAACAACAACAAATCTCTTGCCCTGCATGCAGCTAGAAGTAGCTAATCTCCATTAAATGCAATTGTTGTGACTGTCTTCAGAAATTGCTAAAGAAGTGCAGGCATCTGAATGCATTGTTATTTCACAATGCAGACTGCACTGCCGGGCGAGGAGGCAGGCCCCTTTAAATCCCAAAGAAGGGGACCCAAGCAGAAACAACACCAAGTTTCCACCTGGCTCTGCCCTCTGCTGATGCCTCCTAAAGCCTGCCCACAATTGGGCTGACATCATGAGAGGCGTAAAATTTGACTTCCCCATGGCTGAGGGGAACGTCTCCCATCAGCAGTTGGGAGGCTCTGAATCAGTCTGGCACCAGCAGCAAGCTGTGAAGTGCCACAACTGTCTTACACCAGCACAATGAGTGGAATTTCCACACTCAAGTAGCAAGACTTGCCGTGTTTGAAGAGCAACATGCATACAAGTAGTGTACTGGCTGAATTTGCAGATAGCAGCAACGCTCAAAGCTGCTGTTGGTAAGGTTTTTATTATTATTTTAAACTCTGTACAACATGTCACAGTTTCATATCATTTAGATTAATATTATTAGTTATATAATTAGACATATACAACAAACCAGTGCTTGAAAATAGTTTGAAGTAAATACCCTTGAGCTGATTTAATTTCCACAGAAGTCTTTGTAATTTACATCTACTCGACATGTTTAATAAAATTCCAAGACTAAATTGCGGATAGAATGGAATTAGCTCTTACAATCTGAAGAGATAATGTAAGCATTTGTTTTCTTTAAGAGATTTGCTGCTTTCAGCAATTTGTCTTCAGAGCTTGTGTTTATTTGTTGAACTGAATTAAAGGTTGGCATGACATGAGCAACTTAACATTGAGTCATTATTTACTGCTGCTGTTGGGCTTTGGTCTATATACAAAATGTTGCTATGGTATGGCATTGTTAACCTGGGTGCCAGACCCCTCTTCTCCTTGGATCTAACAAATGTTAGAATTTAATCCAGGGTTCACATTCTTGGAATAGATAGGCTACCCTCCTGGTGAGGTGATAAACCTGGGTGATGAGACATTAAGGGGAATTTAGGGTGTTAAGAGAGATTAAGGGGCTTGGTACAAGATGGCAAATGGGTGGGGCCCCTTCTCTCAATGGATAAAGCCATAATTGAAAGTAGAGAGTTTGGGGAGCAGTGATGTGACCTAGAAGTAAAGCAGCAAGCTGGAGAGAGAACCAGAGCAACATTTGCTTTCTGTTTGAATTTAAGGCTGTAGCTATGGGAGAAACAAGACCCATTCTGGTGTGTTCATGCTGTGAAACCCTCCAGCATAAGCTCTTAAAGACACCACAGTTTCTGCTGTACCTCATTGCCAAAAGGAAACACAAATCCTGGGTAAGAACCTGGAACCCCTGGAATCTTGCAGCGCTTGGATATTGGGGTGGCATGCAACACCGTGGTATTATAGCACTGGCTACTGAGGCAGTAGTAGAGAGGCTCTGGGTCGCTCATATTTTTCTGGGAAATGAGCAGGAATGAAAACATAACGAATCCTGCTTTCGCTAAAACGGAATGTGTTTTTCATATATCTTGCTCCTTTCACAAACAAGACCATAGCAAGAAATACAGCTTTTTATTTCTGAGACTGGGTAGTTTCTCAGCCTTGATGCTTTTGGACTAATTCAGGGTTTGCATCTTTTGGGGGGGTAAGCTCAGGAACTGTACAGCTTCCTCTTTCAATGTTAGGGAAGTGGTAGATTTTATTGCTTCAAGGCTGGAGAGCTGTTAGGCCTCAAATAAAGGTGTGCATACCCCACCCCTTGCATCAGTATCTGTGACTTTAAAAACAAATTACAATCTGTTTCTGAGTTGCTCTGTGCTCTGTCCACTTGGATCTGTGTTTTGAATTCTGAGCCACTCTGTACACAATGAAGCTCTGTGTTTCCCTGTGTAATTTCCATCCTCTTTGGCCAAAGTGAGCGAAGTTTACAGAGGAGACCCTCCAGCATGGATTCAATCTGTCCAGGGGTTTCTGGGAGAGTGTGGAGTGTAAAAATGTTTTGAAAATGAAGCATTTGATGTGAACTGAATCAATGAACCCTTAGTACAAACAACTCTGATCTGACTTGGGAGGTGAATAAGGGCAGATTCTGACATGCTGCTTAGTCAATAAAATTGTGCCCTGATTTCACCCAACACTGGTGCCCAGTTTGAGTTATTTCCACCATACTCACAAGCTACAGGCATGTGCTTTCCTGGGCACTGCTGCTTATCATATGAATCAGTGTGATCAACGGAAAGCTCCCCTGCTGGCACTGATATGGAGACTCTCTATATGACTGAACTGATTCATGAGATAGCAGCCCTAACTAGCAGCCTCCCACATGGTGACTTCAATAGGAGTTTCACTTTACCTTGTGATTCATTATCAGTGCTTTGGATATTCCACATTAAATATATTACACACTTTTCATTGTCCCACTAACACAATGGCATTAAGGTACCAGAAAGGCATGTTTGTCTGAGGGAACTTCCATGTAGAACCCCAGAGATAGGAGGGAATGTATGCTCTGTTGGGTTGGGAGGTACAAGAGCAGGAAGGATGAGGAGTTAAGTTTCACACATGACTAGACCTTGGAGTGCAAGTCTCAACAGACCACATGCTTTTAAACGAATGTTTGATAGATACTTGGATATGAGTTGATAGCTTAAATTTTGAAGCAAAGAAAACCTGGCAAAAGTACCTGGCACCAAGTACCTTGGTTCTCGAACTTAATCTGTTCCGGGAGTCCGTTTGACTCCTGAAACTGTTTGAAAACCAAGGTGCAGCTTCTGATTGGCTGCAGGAGCTTCCTGCACTCAATTGGAAGCTGCATCGGGAGTCGATTTGTTCAGGAGCCAAGCCGTTCGAGTGACAAGGTACCACTGTATTAGCAATGTCATTTATTCTCTGGGGGAATCTTTTAGAGAAATGCTAGAGGACGCATGATAGGTGGCAGAGGGTCTATGATAACTTAACACCAAGGGAACAAAGGTCAACAGCACAAAACCAATACTGGAAAAATCTTGATCACGCTGCTACATACCTGAGGCCATACAACACTGTACCATCTGGATGAAGGCGAATCATTCGATTCTTAACAGTAACACCGTGCACAAATGATTTCTTGTCGTTTAGGAAGTAAGTATCAGGCACCCATAGTTGATCCGCTACTCGGTTATCAAGCGTAAGGTTGAGAGGAATCCCAGCATAGGCTAGTCTTTTATCTCTCCAGTATTGTTGAAAATACATAGTTAGTGTGTAGTCCTGGTGGAGAGAAGAGAAGAAACTTAAGTCATATATATCACACTTCTGAAATCAAGTTTGTACATTTTCTTTGTCTGATACACTTCATTCTAAGCCTAGCTTGTGTTCAACATTTGAGTTCTGTTGCATAGCACCGTGCGATTCTGTGTAATTAAAATGTCACTGGGTCATTGCTTTTTTAAAAAAAAACGTGTAGGGAAAGTTTCAACTTTTTATTTTCTTCCTCAAATGTGCACTGATAAATCACTAATATTTTTTTGTGAGGGCTGCTGCCTTGTGTGGTGTAACATTTGCCTCTACGGGAACACTTTTGGAATTACTTGCATGGAAGGAAGCATGGGAAAGAAGATGCACTAGAATTGGGCATCCATCTGAATTTTTCAGAATCCCAAATCAGACATGAATTTCTCAGGGGATACGATACAATACTGCAAGATGAAAAACTATCTTTGGTGGAGAATGATTGTCACTACTGTTCAGAGAAATAGCAGTTATATTCCATTCTCAGTGCTCATGAACAATTTCTATTAGTGCATCGTCAGAAGGACAATATACCCCCTGGTGTTTTCTGCAATTTCTGATGTAAAGGATAGGAACAAATGCATTCTCTACCAGTTATAGCTTAATTAAAGCTTGGTTTTAGTAGTAATAAAATTGCAAAGTATTTTTATTGGCCTCTAATAAGTAATTTGGAACCAAAAACTAGATTACTAAAACCCACAGGTATATGTGTACCACCAAAACCACATTATAGTGCAATATTAGTAATTTGATTAAACTAGAAGCAGTCTAAAAGAACTCTGTGTCTCTGGGAAAAAGAATAAATAGCAGGAAAGGCACGCCACAGCTTTCTAGTACTCTCCCAAAAGTTCCATCATATTCCCATTTTGGAGAAAGAGAAGAGAAGAGCTTCCTGCTCAGTAACTGAAGATGAAGCTGCTTTCATGCTGACTTCATAAACTAGTAGCCTTCAAAACCATACAACTCTGTGAACAAATATTTAAATACATAAAACACTGAAACACTTGTGCTTACCTCTCCAGACTTTGCCACACTGTATTTTTCACACACAATGCCACCCATAAAATATTTGTTTTATCATTTATCGCAGTGTAATAGAATTATATAACAAAGCTGGTGGAGAAAACATGGCTCTCCCATTATAGAAAAATAAAAAATTCTACAATCTCAATAATTTTACAATCAGCATTGTAAAAACTGGAAAGGGGCTCCTATCAACTTATTAAAGAAATTTCCAATTTGGAATAAAATTACATTTATTTAGATGAGGAAGAACAGATGGCCCCAATATTCTGTTTTTTTATTATTTTGCAGCTCACTTCACAAAGAAAAGTTCTTAAAAGAAGTTGGGAGGGGGAGAGAACAGGGAGTTACAGTGTTAAGTCTATTAAATAAAGTTTGGTTTGTGTTTCTATTCTGAAGGTGCCTGTGCATTTATTCATATGTAACAGGATATCTTATACATAAACACGAGTGGAAACAAGGTTTGTTCTCTTTGGAACAAGGATATTTCCTTTCAACTTTCTTGAACTGAATAGACCTTTTTAAAGAGGAAATGTTCCCATCAGCTTTTTTATCCCGAGACTTTGAAAGTCTCTGTGTTGCAAAACATGACCATCAAAGTTTCCCAGATTATTGCCTTGCTACCTATATAGTGGGCAGGAGGCGCTCTCTCTCTCTCTCTCTCTCTCTCTCTCTCTCTCTCTGTTTGCAGGTCCTTTAAGAAAAGAAAGTTTATAACAGTTAAGGGCTTCTTATGAATAGTAACGCTGGTGGTGCTGTGGGTTAAACCGCAGAGCCTAGGACTTGCCGATCGGAAGGTCGGCGGTTCGAATCCCCGCAACAGGATGAGCTCCCGTTGCTTAGTCCCTGCTCCTGCCAACCTAGCAGTTTGAAAGCACATCAAAGCAAGTAGATAAATAGGTACCACTTCAGCGGGAAGGTAAATGGCATTTCTGTGCGCTGCTCTGGTTCGCCAGAAGCGGCTTAGTCATGCTGGCCACATGACCCGGAAGCTGTCCGCCGGCTGCCTCGAGATGAGCGTCGCAACCCCAGAGTCGGCCACGACTGGACCTAATGGTCAGGGGTCCCTTTACCTTTACCTTTATGAATAGTAATAGGTCAGTGCCAAATCAGTTACTTATCTCTGTTGTGCTTCTTTAAGTAAAGGAGCAGGACAGTTAATTTTGACTTGTTTTACCTACCTCAGAGCATATTTTTAGCTAGTGTTGGAAAATGTGTTGGCTCCAAATGAAGGCCAAGTGGCACGCCAACATTTTTGCAGGTGTCTAGCACAATGAAAGCAGCCTCCCAAAGTGCATGCCTTTTGGTGTGAATAAGTATGCCAACAACCTCTTTGGTGGGTATAAGTGTAATGAGAAAGGTTGCCATATCAACCAGTGTTAAGAGATACTGCACGCAATAGAAGGTTGGTTGGCATAGCAACAAAAGGCACAATATCTTCATTTTGGCATGGGAAGAAAAACTAACCACAAAGTACTAGGCTTTCAGGCATGGAAAGAGAAGGGACAGAGCAATAACATGAGATTGTTTTTGTTGTGCCACAGTCTCCAGTTGCCCAAATGATATAAAAGCTTGTCCATTGAAGGAGCTATTCATGCAGTTATAAGTTGCATTCTGGAATATTGCTTTAGTGAGAAAATGTAAATTGGTCATAATTTTTTTTAAAATGCCTACTATTTCTAATCAATAATTTGGTTTATTGGGGCTTCCAGCGCAGTTCTAATGACTGAATAATCTAAAAATAATCCTTTCAATTTCAGCAGGCATTCTAAATAAGTTGTTCTTTATGTTTATTGATTGCTGTGTAAAATGTTTTGTGAAAAGCTATTGGAAACAAATACAAAAAAAAATCCATGTTCAAAGGAATGTTCTTAAGGTAGGCTTATAAGTAAAGAATTTTAGAAATTTATTTACTTATAATACAGTTTCTATTATTTTAAAAGTACAGTTTCTTTATACAATTTACAAAATTGTAAATTGATGTGAAAATTCCTGAGCAATGGATTTATTTATGGAATAAATACATAGATTTCCCTTCCTTAGTTGATGCCAGGCAATGTCAGTGGCCTTCAACTTAGGAAATTAAGGTCATACACCTGGAGCTCAGAAGATATCACACAGAAGACAATACACACAGATCTCATGATCTGAACACATTGTGTACTCAGGAAATCATCTGTTAGGCAAGCAGTCACATAACAAGTAAATGATTTCCATTGATTCCTATGGGGAAATTTCTTAGGTCTTACGCAGTACAGATTCTCTCCCCCCACTAAATCATTGCAGCTTTTATTGTTGTAGGTTGTTTTGGATGCCCTTTGCCTGGGGAAGCAGTATAAATATTTTAAAATAAACAAGAAATGAAAAAAGAAGTCTCTTCATTCTCACAGCACAATGCTTTACATGTCTACTCAGAAGTCAGTCCCAATGAGTTCAATGGGGCTTACTCCCTGGTAATTGATGCAAGATTGCAGTCCTAGTCTGAGTCCAGCACCCTAGCCACTACCTCTATGAATATAGCGATAGGACACCAAAATTTGCTTCCTGATTAAAATGGTCCAAATGAATCACAAAAGATTCATAGTGCATTCGTATACATGTTTACTCAGATGAAAGATCTACTACAGTTGATAGAGCTTACCTCCAGATAATTGTGCACATGACCGCAAACTCAGTGACTGAAGGAATATGTCCATTTCCTTTCCTCTTTCTTTCTCTTACACACCGAAGTGTATAGCAAAAGGGGGCACGATACTGTACTGGAAGTGGCAAGCAAAGGCTAGCCAATGAAGAGTAGAATGGTCTGCTCTCAACTAATCACGGAGCATTTAAAGATGCACCTCTGTCATTTATCCTTTACATGTTTGCTGCAGGAAGCTTTGCGCAAGCAATATTCCCACATAAAACAGATACACAAAGATATAGCAAAGGTACTCGAATATTGCATTCAAAGAATCTGTATCGCAATGCAACCTAAAGGAGTTGAGATGTGTAGGTGGCATTTTTCAGGATCCAGCCATTCCAGGTTGGAAACATCAGGAGAAAGACACAACTAGTAGATTGAGACTGTTGACGACAGCTCTTTTAAAAAAAGGACCAGAAAGCTAAATACCCAAGAAAACTACCATTCAAAAGACAAATAACCTTAGGCTCAGCAAAGCACTGAAATTGCTTTATGCAGCACAAAGTTTATTTCCTTTTTAAGCTAACACTCTTGAGGGGATAGATTATTTAGAATCATTGTAACCACTTTAAAGAAAGGAACAAAATGTTCAAAGACAGTTGTGACTGAACCTGAAGTAGCAGTGGCCGGATGAGGGCCTTGCTTTGCTTTAGCAAGAGGAGGCAGGGGGAAAGGATTCCTTGAAGCTGTCATCTCATCTTTGAAGTAAACTCAAACCATATTTTTTTCAAGCTTTCCACTGCCATCCAAATAAACTTCAAAAGAAGACAGACATTTCTCAGCCAATCTTTGAATGCTGCAGTTTCAGGGAAAAAACCCTGTATCAAAATGGTCAAATGGGGCTGCCCTCGCAGTCGACTTGGAAACTTCAAACTGCAGTGGCCAGAACACTAGCTAGCAGTCCATTTAGATTCATATAACCTGTTTTAAAACAGTTGCATTGGTTGCCAGTTCATCTCCAGGGCCTTTCAAGGTGCTCACATTAGTATTTGAAGTCCTAAATGACTTAGGCCCCAAAGAGACTGTCTCCTTCCCTACAAGACCCTTATGGGTGTTTAGATTAGCAAAGAAGGTCCTCTCGGCTGTTCCACTGCCCTCAGAAGTTTGGGCATTGGCAGTTGAAGAGAGTGCCTTGGGATCTCATGGCAAAGAGGGGTTAATAAGTATTAATAATAATAATCCTGCTGCAATCCTATGTGAAGAGTTTCAGGTTGCAGAGTGCCCCCCAGAGGAGCCAAGTGGTACCATCTCCACCTCTACATACCACCACTGCACTGAATGAACCATTGCAATAAATTTCCCACAAGCAGGGGTGCTTTTCACACTACACATAGGACAACTGACCAGCCTGGTCAACCTCAATTCCCTGCTGTGAAGTCTGGGAGCTGGGCTGTACCTGGGGCCTTGGAAGAGGTAGACTGCTAAATCATCTCTCTGTCTTTCTATGAACTCATGATTGCAGCCGAGGAGCATAATCCAAGTTTGCACCTAATTTTTAATTATAGAAGGCTCAAGAATGTGGAAATTTCAGCTGAAACTCTTGCTGTTTTCATTTTTATCATAACAGCATATTAAGTGTTTTGTAAGTAATTATATATATCTTTAAAAAAAAGAAAGAGTACAACTGTACTAGTGAATAACATGTAATTCATTGAACACTGAGGAATACTTATAGGCCTTATTCCGAATTGATGCTGAGTATATAAACAATGTAATTTGTTTAACATCTGCTTGTGGTAAATGTTAACAGATGTTCCTAATTATTATCTTTCGGTGCCTATGTATGCAGAATATGAACACACATATGATAAATTAGACTTGCATGAAACGAATGCGAAATGAGTTAACACACAAACAGTATACAGCTAATTAAAATGCCCATGCTTACATTTGAAAGCTAGATTAACAAACCATAACAAATGCCGCTATTTTAATCATACAAACGAGGCAGATGCTTTCATTTGCTGGGGAATTAGACCACCCAAAGCACAATTTGATATATTTGTTGTATTTTAAAACCTTGCCCTCTTCTCCATCCATCGCAATGTAGTGTTGTTGTCAATCCTCTTCGATGGTGGCTTTTGTCACTTGGTGGCTTTTCATTCAAAAGAATGTTAGATGGCAAATTACATGTAGTCACTATAGATGTAGTGTGTGCTACACCTACATTATGGGTGTTGATAGGTGGGTACACATGAAAAGGGATTGAGATTGAGCTCAATTTCAGTTCCTTCTATTTGTACCACCACAATTCTCCCCTTCTTCCTCTTTAGCCATGCCTAAATCCCAGCACAACAGACAGTATGCAGAATGGAAGGCTGGGGAATTCCTCTTGTACTGGTATCTTCCCATTTATCTACTCCCTATAGTTTGTCCTTTTAGTTATTATTGTTCTGGGCAGCTGTGCCTGGAGTCAAATTGACTACGCCAGTATTAGGTTTTAATTTACATTTCATGAAGCATTCCCCGCCCCCCTACTCCCGGGCCGCAAGGAATGGGGAAAGAGAAGCTGTTTTGATCCACATAAATACATTTAGGATCAAGGCTTAAATGCTGAAGTTTTGTGTGAGTCAGTCAAGCCTTTACATTATTTGAAGGCTTTACTCTCATAAGCACTTTATTCCTATGCTGCGAGATTTTTAGACTCTAATAGTTCACACTGTGTGCCAAGCAACTTTTAAGGTCCCCCCCCCTTTGAAAGAAAAAATGGTGAGACATCTCATTTAAGATTCTGGTGTGGGGAGGAAGGTTTCTATCGCATTTCGAGTTCCGTTTGCTATGCTGTTCACATTTAAAAATCTAGCCTGAGCACCATATCTTTTTATGACTAAGACTCCAGTTGTCAAGCCACTTCCTTTGGTCTCCTGTCAGTGAAGCACTGAAACTGACAGCGGTGCTCCAGAACCGCTCTGGCCTTAGTTGCTACAGCTTCAACATAAACAATGTCGTGCAATCTGGCTCTACAGCACAAGCTGCTTACTTTGGACTCATCCAAGCAACTGGCATGAATCTCATTTAAGCATCTGCTATGTTCTAAACATCCAGCCCATCCTCTTGGATTTCTTCCTTTTGATTTCTCTATCCATGGATAAAGACACAGAGTAGAAAAATACTGACCAAATAGCTGCGTATTTGTCTAAATGACAGCAAGTTTATTTGTTATTTGTTGTTGTTTAGTCGTTTAGTCATGTCTGACTCTTTGTGACCTCATGGACCAGAGCACGCCAGGCACTCCTGTCTTCCACTGCCTCCCACAGCTTGGTCACACTCATGTTGGTGGCTTCAAGAACACTGTCCAACCATCTCGTCCTCTGTCGTCCCCTTCTCCTTGTGCCCTCAATCTTTCCCAACATCAGGGTCTTTTCCAGGGAGTCTTCTCTTCTCATGAGGTGGCCAAAGTATTGGAGCCTCAGCTTCACGATCTGTCCTTCCAGTGAGCACTCAGGGCTGATTTCCTTAAGAATGGATAGGTTTGATCTTCTTGCAGTCCATGGAACTCTCAAGAGTCTCCTCCAGCACCATAATTCAAAAGCATCAATTCTTTGGTGATCAGCTCTCACTTCCATACATCACTACTGGGAAAACCATAGCTTTAACTATACGGACCTTTGTCAGCAAGGTGATGTCTCTGCTTTTTAAGATGCAGTCTAGGTTTGTCATCGCTTTTCTCCCAA